GAACCCAGGTCCTCTGGAAGAATATCTAGTGCTCTTAACCCCTAAGCCGTCTTTCCAGGCCCTATTTGTTTTTTTAAACAATGATTTGTTTTTCCAATATCATTTGTTGTTCTCCATATGATATCGTTAATTTTTTCCTAATGATTTCTAAAAATGCTTTACACATTCTCAATGTATATTCTTCATCAGATGTTTGTCCTGAGGACAGTAACCCCCCTGTGCGTGGCTTTGTTTCACTTAATTTTATCTCCTACTGTAAGGAAGGTTTACTTTAATTTTTAAAGGATTTTCTTTTTCTAAGAGAGCTCATTAAGTCATATCCGAGATATCTCACTCGGCAGGTGTTTCTAGGAGACGTTTTTCACTATTTTCTTCCTGGAGTGTTATGGTGGGTCTACTTCACATTTATAATCCATGTTATCTGCTGTGCAAACAATTCGTTGGGGCCCATTTTTCTGTGTTATCACTTATTGAAAATACATTGTTTTGTCGATTTAATGCTCAAAATTATTTCAGAAATTAATTAGTCATACATACATACATACATACATACATACATACATACATATATATGCTGCTACACAAATAAACCATGTCTTGAAAATGCCCCCAAAAAGAATTATGTTTTTTACTATTTTTTTCACCCTTAGATTTCATTGTTACCTGTCTGTTTATCTGTACCTTGTTCAATTTCTGTCAGCAACACTTGACAACTTTAAGCACAGAGGAATTGAAAACTTAAATACGGACACTGTCATGCTTTTTAGTCTGTTGTATTTATGCTTACTGTATTATTGCCTTGGTGTCTGGAAATATAACTGATCTTTGAAATTTTATTCTTGCGCATGTGCACGTGTGTGTGTGTGTGTGTGTGTGTGTGTGTGTGTGTGTGCTGTTTGTGTCTTTGTGTGCCATAGAGGGCATAAGGCCTCTGGAGCTGGATGGTTACAGGTGATGGTGAGCCTCGGGTGTGGATGCTGGGAACGGAAGTTGGGTGCTCTGGAAGAGCAGCTCTTGACCACTGGTCATCTCTCCAGTCCCTAGTGAATTGTTTGAAACAAGGTTTGGGTCCTGTGGCTTTGCCAAGTGCAGTGATAAAGTTTAGTATTCTGAATTAATTCAGTATCTGGAAGAATTAAACTTTTTTCTTTCCAATATTTGCTGCCTTTTGAATTTATCTAAGTTAGAGCGTTGGCTATGCTCCAACTGTTATTATCGATGTACAACTGATTAAATGCTACTATTGACATACAATTTGCATATAACAAAGAGCTTTGAAGCACGCATTTGAGAGTCCTAATAAACATGTAGAGTTCTGCAGTCACCACGACAGTCACACGCCTCACAAGTTTCCCGAGCTCCCTTTGTAGTTGACTTCTACACTACCCCTGAGAAGCATAAATCCCAATTTGTGGTTTTAATTTATATCTTCTCCAAATATTTTATACAAGGAATTATACCTAATGGTTCATGCCATATTTTATACTTACGTATACTATAAATAATAAAATTCAGTGTTATAATTTTTGTTTTAAACTGTGTTGTCCCTAAATAAATCCCATAGCCTTTATACTTACATTCCCGCTCATATCTACTGCTCTTCCTTCTTTTTCTGTGTATCTTGGCTTTAATCTGGTTTATTTTACTTCAGCAAGACCACACTCCCTTATCGTGATAATCTCCAGCCATGAGTTTAAACTAAGTTTATTTATATTTGAATTTCAATTATGAAAGACATTCTTTGTATATTTCTTTAAGCAGTTAACAATCTTCTAAGCTAAATCACACTAGCTAGTTCATTACTTTAGTTTCCAGTCATGCTTTTTATTAGTTCTTTGAGGATTTTGTACGATGCGTCTTGATCACGTTTACTCCTCCTGCCAGCGCCTCCCAGAGTCACCCTCCCTCCCCTACACGCCCAGTTTTGGGTACAGCACTGTCACAAACATGGGAACAGCCATCCACGTCCTGTTTCAGGTCCCATGCCACAGGATGAAGCCCACACTGAAAATGGCACCATCACAGGCCAAGAACATGTACACAGGCACGTCATAGACTCCAGGAGAGGCCTGCTGCCATTGGCCTGCTAACCATACACAGTATTAAATCATCTCCCCGCGACCTGTCATTATACCCCACCATCAGAGATCATCATGTACAGTAGACGGTGGTTGACATGGAGACCGGCAAGGCTCAGAGATCAAGGGGCTGTGGAATATTTACCCCACAGGAGCATCTGTGTCATGCACCCTTCTCTGAGGATCAAGAATCATTGCAGAAGAAGTAGGAGGGCATAGACTATGATAGCCAAAGGCAGCACCTGTCTACACCAGACCTGCCTTCTGGACGCAGCAGGAGAACTGAACATGTAACCCTACAGTAGCTGTGACAGCCTACACAAGACCTGTGTGAGCTTATGCAAGACCAGATCCCATCACAAAGGGAGGAGGTTAGAGCAAAGTCCCACCCTTAGCTGAAGCACCATTGGCAACTGACAGCTGCCTTGAGGAGAGTCGGTTTTTAAGAGTGTAGCTAGCTCCTCAGCACTGGAGAGATGGCTGGGTGGTCTAAAGCACTGGCTGCCCTTCCAGAGGACCAGAGGGCCAGATTTCAGATCCTAGCACCTCATGTTGGTTCACAACTGCCTTTAACGCCAGCCCCAGGGGATAAAATTCTCTACTCACCTCTATGGACGGCGTATTCATGCAGAGCTTAGAATACGTGCGGACAAAATATCCCCACCGTGGATGGGAGTCTCTGTCCCGCCTGGTCCTGGTGCTATTCAGTGCCAAATAAACACACAGAGGCTTCTATTAATTACACACTGTTAACTGAAATTTCTGTCCCTCCTGGTCCTACAGCCATTTAGTCCCAAGTAAGCATAAACATAGAGGCTTACATTAATTATGAACTGTTTGATGACTCACCCTTCTTTAATTGACTAACTCTCAATTATTAACCCATTTCTATTAACCCATTTCTAATAACCCGTGTCTTGGCTTACCAGTGATATCCAGACCTCTTGCTCCTTTGGCAGCTACATGGCGTCTCCCTGCTGACTCACTCTCTGTTTTCCTCTTCCCAGAATTCTCCTAGTCTGGTAGTCCTGCCTATACTTCCTGCCTGGCTGCCGGCCGATCAGCATTTTATTAAACCAATATGAGTGACAAAACTTTACAGTGTTCAAAATCACCATACACATTAAAGACAAGGACATTAAAAAAAGTGTAGCCCCTGGCAAACAGACCTCGCTCCAGTAGAAGGCCACACATCCCAGAATACACAAATTAGAATGGAATTAAAAAATTATTTTTGATGAGCAGCTATGTGTTTTTGTATCATTTCTTCCCTAAATGTGTAATATGGATACATTCAAAACTTAACAAAAACATCTGATTTAAAATGTTTGACACAGATGGTGTTATTTCTACTTACTGTTTAGTTTGTTGAGATTCTTGGATCTGTAACTAATGTTATTTCACTAAATCTGATGGAAATTTCTGCCTATAGCTTTTCCAAGTATGTTTTCTGCCCTAGCCTGTCTCTTATTTCTTTGCGAGTCTCATTTGTAAGTAAGAGATTGTGGTGTTGTCCTATAAACCAGTTTCGTGCTTATTATTTCAGTGTTTTTTGTTTTTGTTACCTGGGCTAGATAATAACTATATTTTATTAGTTCTTTATTGTTGAATAAAGATTAATCCAAACTTGCCGGGCGTTGGTGGCACACACCTTCAATCCCAGCACTTGGGAGGCAGAGGCAGGCAGATCTCTGTGAGTTCGAGGCCAGCCTGGTCTACAGAGTTTCAAAAAAACACTACACAGAGAAATTATGTCTGGAAAAAACCAAAACAACAAAAGAAGTTAATCCAGACTCTCTTGCTTTGAAATAGAGTAGTCACACTCATCTCTTAAAATTTCTGTGTACACAGAGTCCCAAATTATCTTGAATGTTCAACTAGCTCATTTGAATCACTTTAACTCAGTTCTCGTGTGACTTCCTAGTCGGACACTTGCTGGGGCTGGAGTCGCTTGATTGAGTTCGGAATCTCCTCGGGTGGTAGCTCACTTCCTCGGCTAGAGAGTCGGGGTGTGCATGTGCCTGCTCCAGTGTCCTTTCCTCAGAGTGAGCAAATAAAGGCAGGCGGACATCACCACATCACCGGGGGCCTTTATGACCTGCGCTCCCATCATGCCCTGCGCTCCCATCATGCTCTGCTCTCCACTTGGCCGGCCACACCTGAGGGAGGGAGGAAGGGGAGCGCAGGCATGAGCATGAGAAGGTGAAGTTTACTGAGCTGGGTCTTAGGGGATGGGTACTAAACCTGAGGTTAAGCGCACCCGCCCCTCTTCCTGCAAACCGCAGTCTTCTTGAGCCCTTTGCATGTAGATTCTAGAATTCAGATGGTTTGTTGTCGGCCCTAAAAAAAATCTCCAACAATTCTTTCGAATATTTTCCAGTTGTCCGGTAGGAATCCTCAACTTTATTCCCATTGTTAACTACCTTCCTTTCAATTGTTTAAACGTTTATGTCTTCTGTTTTAAGCCTTTGCCAGTATCGAGCTACAGGTCATCTTCGAATTAGTGTGTGTAATTTTACTATCAGCCCCAACTCACATTTTTCTGTCATTCTATGTGTCTAGAGACTTTTTAGAATTATGTGCTAAACGTCATCAGTGGCTAGCTGAAGAGATTCAAATTGCTGTGTTTTTCATACAAGCGTTTCTTAATTCCTTCACTCAAACGCGCATTTAACTTGGTTTAGTGTATTTAACTTGGTTTAGTGTAAAAAAAAAGAAGTTATTTACTTTGTGAGCATTGGTGTTTTGCCTTCATGTCTATGTGAGGGTGTCAGGTCCCCTGGAACTGGAGTTACAGACAGTTGTGAGCTGCCATGTGGGTGCTGGGGATAGAACCTGGGTCCTCTGGAAGAGCATAGAGCCAGCCCAACTCGATGTAACTTACACTATAAACCATACACATTTCCCTTAACTCTTCTACCATTCTGGTTGTCATTTTTTCCTGGTTTTATTGAAATTTTGCACACATTCCCACATCTTAAGAGATTAGCCTGTTCTTTTTTATGTATAGATTCTAAACTTCTCCACCGTGGTCCATTTTTTTTTCTTTTGCAATTTTCTTCTCAGTTTCTACACTCCAGCTACTGCAGAAATGCCTGTTGCCTTATACTTTAAGATATGAAGGCTGAAATTCACTCAAAGTTTCTTCTTCTGTGGGTGACACAATTCACATTTCCCCCGGATTTTGTTGTTACTTTGAACATTTTAATAACTTGCATGTAGACAAGAAAGCACCATTTTTCTATGCAGGAGAGGTATACAACCTGCTTTGCCATGACCAGAACGAGACGTTGGCTGCCCGTGTCTCAGAATGCACAGTTTAAGTATCCAGTTTGAGACTTGAGGAACTGTTTTACAGTGGATGACTCACAGTCATAAGGAGAGGCCGTGTAGCTCAGTGTTAGCGCATGGCCTACTGTGCGCAAGGCCCTCGCCGTGATACTGAAAGAGACCAGAAGTCAGGCTGTTTCGTTGGCAGAACCCCAGACACTGGTCTATGCAGTTGTCTATCTCAGTGACCTTGGGTTGTTCTATTTTCCAGGGAAGAATCTCCCAATCTCTGTATGGATAGGGCCAGGAAACACATAAGACACTAATTTGTCAGCTTCTTGTGAGAGCACTGGTTTATGTGTCGTTCTGCTGATTTCCCAGGATTCCACTTAATTTCTGTTTTGAATATAAACCAGCTGTATCATCTGACCTAGGACAAATTTATCCTTGTTCAATATTTACAGAATCAGATCTGTTGTTTTAGGCTTTGGGAATGGTGTGCTTGGAATGGCTGGGCATGTTAGGGCCATAGGATGCCTTTAAATACATCTGTCCAGTGTCTTGTTCTCTGTTTCCGGCTGCAAGGGATTTCTTGATCACCTGTGATAAGAATTAGATATTTTCTTATGAGCTTTTCCTACTCCAAGTCTGGATTTCGGGTTTTAATCCCAGTCTATTACTGTTTGTCCATATGTTCTTTTGATTCATTTATATTTGTTTCTTTTCATCTTAGCCAAGACTTACCAAAAAATGATCAATTTCATGTATTCAATCTTCGTTTCATCTGCATTAAAATAACACTGTTTTATGTTCATCTGTTTAAAATGAAAAAGGAAGCTGCAGGGATTAAACAAAATCCATCACCTCCCCACCGCCTCCCACAAAGCATACATCCCAAGACTTCCAGTGGATGCCTGAAACCACAGGTAGCTCTGGAGCCTGCATAAGCTCCGCTTTTCCCAATAGGACACGCTGCTCTCTGTGGCGAGAGCAGTGTATAGCAGGAGAGTACACTGGGCAAAAGAGCAGTGTATAGCAGGAGAGTACACTGGGCAAAAGGATGGTTCCTGTATTGGCCAGTCCAGAGTCGGGTAGCACAGAGGTCATCATTCTGTCCGGTACAGTAGGGAATTTAAAATGTATGGATTGTTCATTTCTGGAATTTTCCATCTAATATTTTTTACACTTCAGTTCACTGCAGGTAACTGAAAACATAGGTAGTGAAGCTGCAAATAAGGGGGAAACGATGTCGTCTCGTTAAACTTGCATTTGTTACAATTCTTCCTCCCCAGAAGTCATTTGTGAAAAGGATAGAGGTCAAATGACTAAACTTGTGACAAATGTAAACGTCACTTCTATGGTCACTTCTGTACTACACATAGGCTCTTTCTCCAATCATTGCTTTCAAAGATGCAGGGAAACAATGGGGCTACCATGTCTTCAATATAGCAGATTTGCTTTGGATCCATGTTGTAAAATAGTTTACAGCAGACAATCATTTGTAGCCATGGCCGCCTCAGAGGGCCTTGCCTCAAAGAGCTGTGCTGACAATAGCGTAGCAACTCCGTTATGCCTGTCTGTCCAACCATCATTGCCAGCTAACGGGAAACTCTGTGAGAACCAGAATTTAGACAACTTTAGCATCCTGCTTTGCTTATGAACCTGATATTTTAACATGAAGAAGCCGCACATTTTTTGGTTTCTTACCAAAGAACCCAGCACATGCCAGGCCTCGAATGAACGTGTGTTTGCCACATGCAGAATGTAGAGCATTGCATTTTGAGCATTTGCTTACCATCACCCCCAACAAATAGTTTTATATTGACTTTTCATTTCCTATCAGCCAGGCAAACACCCCTTTCACAACTGATTGGCTTGTTCTGGTGGTGGAGATTTCACCAGTATATAAGTACTATCTTAGCAAATTAGAGGGGAATATTGGAACATATTTGTGACTGATGCTTTCAGGAATGGAGACCTGAGGGAAAGAGTTTAGTGCATACTGGAGAAAAGAGATTATAAACCTCTGTTGTACTACATGATCTAGGAGCCGTTTAGCCAGAGATCAAACGTGGTGGAAATTATTACACACACACACACACACACACACACACACACACCAATTCAACAACGGGTTGTTCTTTATCTTTGTTGAAATCTGAGAAGAAATAAAGCCCAAAGGCCTCTCTATTCAACCAGCACTTAAAATCGCCATGGCGGATGATGGACGGACATGACCATGCTTGTGATGGGGACAGCTCATGGGAAGAAAAGAGCTCTTAACTGTAGCAACCTTCTCTGTCAAGAATGGTGACAGTCGCTGCCTGCAGGCAGGTTTGCCTAGTTGGCTTCACCGGAACCTTTCTTTGAGCCGTTTCAGCTGCCGGCCTTCAGATGCTGAAATTGAACTAGACACAGCCAAGTGTGTGCCCTTTTAGGAGCTCCGGCAGAGCCAGAGGCGACAGTGCCACCAGCAGAGATGACAAATTGAAGACTTCACTCAAAGGTGAGTCAGGTCAGCGTGGACCTAGGCCCTTCCCTTCTCCAGCTTGGACCGAGTTTCAGCAGAGAAGGCCTGCCAGGAGCTGACAACCACGGAACACCCTCCTCTAACATCCATATAAGCTTTAGCATCGGGACTAGCAAGGTGTGTGTGTGTGTGTGTGTGTGTGTGTGTGTGTGTGTGAGTGTGTGTGTGTGTGTGTGTGTGTTGGGGACTGGTTAGCTAATGAGAGGTGGAAGGAACTCGCCCGCTCCGAGCCACGCTCCAGGAAACATGAGTTTCTCCAACAATGACCAGGTTCCTTTTCTCACCATGCCCTCGGTGGCCTCCGCTCCGGGAGCTCGCCTCCAGCAGAGCCTCTGGTCTCCTTCTTAGGCTGCTGGCCGGCTCCTGCCGGAGGGCGCGTAGGAAGATGCTCGCCCGGGGTCCTAGTGTCTTTCCCCCAAGCTCCTGTCTTTGCAAACGCGGATAGGTGGCCGGCGGCAGCATCAACAGCATCAGCAGCTCCCCAGCCTGGGCGAGGAGCACAGGGAGGGGGCTGGCAGGGCAGGCGGGAGAGAGGCGCGGAGGTGGGGCGGCAGCCGCGAGGGGGAGGGCGCCTGAGCTCTGCGGCGCCCTGCCGGGTCTCTGCCGGCTGCCGGTGGCTCCGGGCTCCCCGGCGGCGGCGCTGGTGCTCGCTGTCTCCGGCTCTCCGCCCGCCCTCGCTCCCGCTGCCGAGCGCGGAGGCGAGCCGCAGCCCGGCGCGGCCGGTGGGCGTGTGCGCGCTGAAGGACGCCTCCTCTCGCTCCCTCCCGTGTTGCAGGCGGCAGCTGGCGGCTCCGGCTCGGGCAGCGGCGGCGGCGGCGGCGGCGGCTTCCGGAGTCCCGCGGCGAAGATGCTGAAAGTCACCGTGCCCTCCTGTTCCTCCTCGTCCTGCTCCTCGGTCACCGCAGGTGCCCCGGGGTCTGGGAACCTCGTCCCGGATTACTGGATCGACGGCTCCAACCGGGATGCTCTGAGCAATTTCTTCGAGGTGGAGTCGGAGCTGGGACGGTAAGGCGAGGGGCGCTGGACCAGGAGGAGAGCGGAGGCGCGGGCTGGGGCTGGGGATGCTCGCAGCAGCGAGCACGCTGGTTGTCCCTCGGGGCGGCGACAGCTCCCGAGGGTGAGGGTGTCGGGCTAGCCTGCTCTGCCTTGGGTATCTCCCCAGCCTAGACAGCGTCAGGGCAAGAGCTGAGCTGGAGTCCCGGGCAACCAGGCTCTCCCCGGAGCGCCTAGGCCGGTGCAGGGCGAGCATCCGCCAGACTCTCCAGCCCTCCCAGCTCGGAACTGGCTGCCGCTTGGGTGATCTCTCTCTTACCGCACGTGGACTCGGCTTCCCTAATTAGTGTCCCTGCTCGGATTCTAGTTTGTCAGAGGGACTTGTGTCTAGTTAAGTTTTGGGCTGGGGACTGCCGTGTGCCCCTCCACACGGTGATGGAGTCATTAGATTTCTTCCTGCTTCCCCTCGTCAAGCTCTCCAAAGCCAAGTGGCACTAGAAATTTAACCTAAATACTAGCTTCCCCGCAGCGTGTGCTCGGGAGAAGGCGAGAATGAATCATTCAGGAGAGTTAAAGGCAGAGTAATGAAGTAGTGAGGCTTCCAAACAGAGAGCAGCTGGGGGGGGGGGGGAGGGCAGGCAGGGGTAATTAGTGGGAAGAGGTCTGAGGCTCTTCTTTCGCGTTCTGGAGTGGTTTATTGAAATCGTGCATGCCAAAGAGCCCATCCCGTTGGGAAAGCAGATGTGCCCCCTCGCCCCCTCCCTGGAGATCTAAACAGGTAGCAGCAGTTTTATCTTGGGATCGATTCTGTGTGTTCTCAGATCTTTATCCACTGATAATTAGTTTTCTATTCCTCTTCCCCTTCTGTTGTCCATACACACCTGGGGGGGGCAGGATTTCAGTGCTGTTTAAATGCAAAGCTGCCATCAGAGGGAATCTGAACTCGATTTCAACTGTTGCCAAGTTTTGATCTCCTCCCCCCCCGCAATTTAATTTTCATTTTTCTTTTGCTGGTAGTAGTTTCTCTCACAGTCTTCTTAGGTTAATTTTTGGTGCCGTTTAAGAGAGGATGACTCTGGATTCTGGGTGTTCATACTTAGTGAGAAGGATTTGCTGGCTCCGAGTTTGCTTTTACTGAGTACAAGTGGTACTTGTGTAAAAACGTGAAACTTTAGAAAGGAAATCTCTTTGTTTTCTTACTGTTTAAAAGCTACCAGGCTGTTTGAGCACTGGGTAACGTGCATGTCCACATCCGTTTTTAGTCACGTCTCCGGGCGTTCGTTTGAAGGCTGCTGTGGACTGACGTGAGATGGCAACCCATATTTTTGTGAGGTTCGAGAAATCATACTTGAGTGATGTGCTGCAGGCTGTGGTATGAACTTCTGATTAAAGAGATAATCTTCTTCAAATTGGTTCGTGAGGGGATGGCCCCATAGCACATCCGAGCAGGGCCCCAGAAGTCCTTAACGGATTCTGGCTTCCTGGTGGCACATATAAGCTCTGCCATCAATCACATCCATCTCATCAAACACTTTGATTTGAGAAGTGGGAGGGCTTATGGGGAGGGGCGGAGGCTTCTAAGTGTACACACACACACACACACACACACACAGGATGGTGAATCTCACAGGGATGTAGCCTTTGCAGTTTGCTTGGTTTTAATTTGGCCCTACAGTTTGCATTCGGTTGGAATTACACGTATAAATCTACTATAAACTGCTAAGCCTTGCCCTGCTCTGCAGCCTTTTTTTTTTTTTTTTTTTTTTTTGCCCTGCAATCACCAAATTAAAACATTTTCGGAAGAAAAATGTTATGCACTGAAAGTGGTGCATCCTCCCTTCTCCAGGGGCAGCGCGTCTCGCTGGGCCCATTCTCTGTGGATGACAGTGCCGATGAGCAGTAGGCTCGCACCATTTGGTTAAGGTGGACAGGTGCTTTCACTTCACAGTCCAAGTTATTTGTTTTCCTCGATGAAATGAACCTAAAGCATGAACTGTTAAAAATCTGAAGAACTAGAAAGAAAGCCATAGAACTTCTGCACACAACCAACTGACTGAACCACAAAGGTCTGCTTGATTTTGGCGCTAGTGATCCATTGGAGCTCACTTGAATTGATCTCAAGATTTTTCTTTCTGTTTTGGGCCGAATCTGGGGGCCAGTGGTGACTCTGAAGTCCAAAACACTCGATTCTTTCCTGCACAGTTGTCAGTGTGGTGCTCAGCCAGCAGCAGTCTGGTGCTGGTGGGCCACTAGGGTTAGTTAGAGCCACAGCAGACATTCCCCACTAGATGAATCGCAGACTTCCTGTTCGTCTCCTGAAATAATCTGTTATAAACGGTTGACTCCTGATTTCAAGAAAGTTAGATTCAAGGCCACTTGGACAACGTACCCTGAGAGTGTGTCTAGAAAGCCAAGTGGAGTTAAATTCCTGAAGGTGTAAAAACCTGAAGCCCCTGGACAGTGGTTCTCCATCTTCCCAATGCTGTGACCTGCTAGTACAGTTTGACATGTTGTCGTGACCCCCAACCATAAAATTACTTTGTTGCTACTTCATAACTGCCATTTTGCTACTCTTATGAGTCATAATGTAAATATCTGATATGTGATTCCCCCAAAGGGGGTCACAACCCCACAGGCTGAGAACCACTGCTCAGGAGAGTGCTTATAGAAGGTAGGCAACTGCAGAATGACTTATCCGTAGCCATCCAGTACAAGGCAGAGACAACTTTCTTTTGGCAGTGCGTGTAGGCATATGAACGAGTTATCTGAAAGTGTCAGGCACACCATTTTTTTTTCTAAAATCGAAATTGAAAAATATTTTGGTATTTATGGAGCTTGTTAAGTTTACAAAAGCCACAATAGACCAACAAATCTACTTAAACATATGAGCTAGCCATTATCCTATGCAGGAATCAATATCTAGAGAGCAGTTGGTCCTCCGCCCAAAGATTTGGGAGAGCGGCATTCTGAAGGATCTTCTGATGGCGCTTGCTTCTGGCTTACGTCCCTCCCAGCGGTGGGGTGAATGGGAAGGCAAGGCTTGGCTTGCCCTGCTCTGTGGCGAGGGTTTGGCCTTGTGCATCCAAACCCACATCCTGGTTTCGATTGGGCCTATCTTTTGTTTAGACTTGTTGTACCATATTGAAAGGATGTTTTTAAGGAACTCATCTGTGTTCCCAAACACCCAAATCCAGAAAACCAAATGTTAGACCATTTGGCTAAAAGAAAATGTGTTCAATTATGCTGGATTTTTACTGTAGTTGCTTTAGGTTGGTGACCTTTAGGACCCAACCAGACTAAATTCATCATTAAAAAAAATGTGTTTATGTGACAACTCAATTATCTGTCATTTATCTGTCTGTCTGTCTGTCTTATCTCTTTGTATCTATTGGTGTTTAGGAGCCCAATCGGATTTTAAAAAGTGAGATGTGTGGTCATTTGCATAGAATAGAAACAATGTTACCAAATAATGCTTAGGCATACCATCAACAATGCCCCAGTGTTTTGTGTTTTATGGTGTTTCCTCTGACTCTATTCCACTCAGAAGATTTGCTGAGCTCATGTGATCTGACATCCCACTTAGAAGTGTGGCTCATTTAGAAAATGCTATTTTTGGACGTAAATATGAGTATGCCAGGCTAAACTATGAGGCAGAGTCCTTTAACACAGTGTCTGGCAGACCATTTGGCAACACTGCCCTGAGCGGTGTCCATTTGGCACAGCTTTGTGGAGAAAAAGTCTCCTTTCTTCGCCTCCAAGTCCTTATTAGACTTTCCCTTCCAAAAATTTAAAAAAAGCACCGGCGTCTCCAAAAGGTCCACTTGACACCCGGGAAGCTGACCTGACTGAGAGAGGGGTCTGTGTCAGGGCAAGCTTACATGTGGAGGGAATTGACCTGACTGAGAGAGGGGCCGTGTCAGGGCAAGCTTACACGTGGAGGGGAGAAATACAGAGAATGAAGGAGCTGCAGTGATGCTAACTCTGGCCCAGCAGATGCTTCTTGTAAGGAGCCACAGGTGTGTCTTAGTTCTGTTTGCTACAACAACAAAATCCCTGGGTGGCTTAAACCACAAACATTTGTTTTTTCCCAGATCTGGAGGGTAGGGGTTCAAAACCAAGATGCTGGCTATTTATTTACCCCAGAAAGAACTTTCTTCCTGTCTTGAGTGGTGGCCATCTGCTGTATTCTCAGAAGACAGAAAGGAATATGAATATATATGTGTATATCACATATATTACATATACATGTAATATGTGTATATCAGAACAGTTTCTCTAAGCTCTTTGGTGTCTCTTCTCATAAGATTATTCATCCTGTCTTGAGAGATCCATCTTTAGGAACTGACCCTAAGCATAATTCCTTCCCAAAGACCACATTCCAGTGGCCACACCAGAGGGTCCGTTTCAACACATGAACTTCTAATTTCTACTTCTATTCTATTATATAAGAATATTTGCGTATCTCTAGCACATTGGGCATGTCCCCTGTATCCTTTTATCTCCCCCCTCTCAATCTGTACTCCCATGAGCTCTCTTCGTTCCCCTGGAAAATTTCATTGTTACTTCCAAACCATGTGTATATTCATGGTTTTGTCAGCGTATGGATTTTAGGGGGACAATTCAGTCTACACTGTGGTTGGTGATGGATTAGATTCTGTCCTTTTTCTTTTTCTCCCTTCCTTCTTCCTCTTGGCCAGGCATCTTCCTGGGTCTTCTCTTGGCTGATGCTTCTCAAGTTCCAGGCTTTTTCCTTACGCCATCTTTTAGGGCCCCACAGCCTGTCCTCTATGAACTGCTGGCAAGGGATCTGTTTTGCTGTCTACTCTGATGGCGTCGACTCTTTGGTGATCACGTGTTCCTTTTCGTTTGGGTTCTTAGTGTGGCTGTGACTCAGCAAGGGGCGACCCCACGTGGGAGAATAGAAGCTCACGCTGTGTGTGCTCTCTGCAGGAAAACTGACTTGGCTTCCAGAAGGCAGAACCCTTGGGTTTGTCCTGTGTGCTATCACAGTC